ATGAAAGAGTTAATTTGTCAGTCAGATACAACAATAGTAAACATAACATATATTCATCAAACATCAAAGCCTCCAAATAGATAAAGTAAATATTGACAGAGTTGGAGGGAGAAATTGTTACTCCATAATAATAATTGAAAGGCTTTATACATCACATAAAGGATAGAATTCACAACCAGACAGAAGACCAATAAGGAAATAGAGAACTTGAACAGTACTATTAATTTCAATCTAATCTCTAGCCAGTTATTTTATGAATATAGAGAAACCGACTCTAAAGTATCTGCAGAGAAAGGAAAAAGTCCAAGAATAATCAACACAATATTGAAGGACAAGAACAAAAATATAAGACTTGCATTACCACACTTCAAGACTTTCTATAAAGGTACAGTAATCAAGACAGTGCGGTTTTGGTGAAAAAATAGACAATACATCAATGTAACAGAAGAGAATGACCAGAAATTTACCCACATAAATATATATTTTTAATTTTTTAATTTTTAACTTTTGTAAGTACATAGTAAGTGTATATATTTACGGGGTACATGAAATGTTATGATGCAAACATAAAATGTGAAATAATCATGTCAGAGAGAATAGTGACTCACATAAATATAATTAAATTATCTTGACAAAGAAGCAAGGACAATACAATGAGAAAATAATACACTTTTCAACAAATGGTGATAAAATAACTGGACATCCACAAGCAGAAAGACAAATAATTTTACAGCCTTGACAACTTCTACAAAAAATAATTCAAAATGGATTAATTCAAAATAGATCAGATCTAAATGTAAATGAGTGAATGAAATGAAAATGAAAAACTATACAACTTCTAGAAGGTAACACAGGAGAAAATCAAGATGACCTTGGATTTGAGGATTTTTTTAGATACAACACCAAAGTCACAATTCACAAAAGAAACCACTGATAAGTTAGACTTAAGTGTCAAGAAGGCAAGAAGGCAAACCACAGACCAGAAGAAAATATTTGCAAAAGACATATTCAATAAAGGATGATATGAAAATATACAAATAGCTTTTAAAAATTAACGTATGGTGAAACCCTGTCTCTACTATATATACAAAACATTAGCTGGGCATAGTGGCATGTGCCTGTAGTTCCAACTGTTCAGGAGGCTGAGGCAGGAGAATTGCTTGAACCTGGGAGGCAGAGATTGCAGTAAGCCGATATCACTCCACTAAATTCCAGCTTGGGTGACAGAGTAAGACTCTGTCTGAAAAAAGGAAAAAAAGCCAACTTACACCACACCAAAGAATACATTTGGATAAAGAATAAACGTGTGGATACATCTAAATAAGGAGGTCAAAGATGTCTGCAATGAGAATTACAAACCACTGCTCAAGTAAATCAGAGATGACACAAACAAATGAAAAAACATTCCATGCTCATGGATAGGAAGAGTCAACATCAGTATCTTGGCCATACTGCCTTAAGCAATTTATAGATTCAATGCTATTTCTATTAAACTACCATTGAGATTGGAACCAAACAAGAACACAAACAGCGAAGAACAATCCAAAGTAAAAAATGAAAGTAAAAAAAAATTTTTTTAATTAAAATAAATTTTAAAAAGTGGATTGGCGACTGGCAAGATGGCTGAATAGGTGCAGCTCTGGTCTTATTCTACATCTCATGAAAGCAACACATTAGTTTTTGTCATAAGTGTTTATTCCAGCTAATATGTCATCTACTAATGTGACAGGCTATTAGTTGGGCTCCAAGATAAAACTTCAGCATGATCAATTCAAAATCGCCTTATCACTTCTATTGAAAACAATTCAATAAAACATATAGTTCTTACTGACTGTACACATAAGACAAGATGCTAAAAGCCATTTATTTTATGTATGTTTTAATAATTATTTCATGGATAAAATATTTCTGAAAATTAATTGATAATATTGAATCACAAATATTAACATTTGATAAATATTTTTAATTTACTTTTAAAATATTGGGACATAATACTAACTTGTATGATTGACTTTACCATTTAAAAAAGAACTATTTCTTGATTTGAACGCAGATATTAATTCCATTGACTTACATTGTTTCTTTTTTTCCCTTTAGGCTGTCCTTTGGAGGTATAAGTTTTCTCAGCTTAAAGGTTCTTCAGATGATGGCAAGAGCAAAATCAAATTTTTGTTTCAGAATCCAGATACTAAACAGATTGAAGCAAAGGTAAACCCAAGAAATTCATCACATAAGACCTGTAACCACATTAATGCCATTAAGGAACAAAGGGGAGAAACTTTCAGGGAATCACAGGAGCAAAAACACACATTCTCTGCTTATCTTGAAATATCCCTCATGGCCAGAAGAATAAATTTACTTTAAGATTTTATTGGCAGATTTTCACTTAAAGGCATCATTTAAAATAAATTACACAAAACGAATTGGATTTCTTAATTTTAATTCCTTATAAACTGCATCTGGGTCACACTAAAATAACATCCTGGGAACTAATGCAGTCCTTTGGTGGTTTTTTCCTAAGTAATAATTAAAAATACTTTGTAAAACTCTGACTTTATATTTACATAAATTTATATAGTTATGTTTTATTTATATATTTTTTCATGTATTCAAAATCTGCATTATTTTTATTACTGTAATATAAAATTGACAATAACAATGTTTGCATTAGAATAAATTATAAATGCATTATCTCAGTATGGAGGAAAGGATAAATAACAAATACGAAGTGAAAAAATTATATCTATGAACACGAAAACTCAATATAATTTTTCAACTATGGATTACATTTACCATATTTCTGTTATACCCCCTTCCTTATTAAATTCAGGGATAAGGAGCCTTAGTCTGACATTTAGAACCTTCCAATGAATGTTCCTGGATGATATTCTAGGCAAAGTCTCCTGTAACACTGCTCTATATTCAGATTAGAATTCTCCGTCTTTTAACAAGGTGATTCCTTCTAGACTTATATATCTTCTGCTTTTCTCTTAACTTTTTTCCTTAGCTTTTTGTGTGAGTATCTCTGGAGATGTCCCATTCTTGTCTCTTACTTGTCTTTGGATTCATCTTTTCTGCTCTTCCTAGCTCACAGGTTGTGTAAGGTGGGAACTGTCATCTTTCCTACAGCAGGCTCCTTGCCTGCAGCATTGATGTTCCCAGGGGCTGGCCTCACATTTGTCTCCCATCAGTTTAGACAAATGCCTTGACAACGTCTTCCACTCCCTTTATTCTGCCTGCCTCATCAGTTTTTTCAGCACGTCCTCTTCCCTAAATATAGACCCATCTCTGCACCTGTCCTTTCTCTACCTCTTGCTACTGTTCCTATTCTCTCTCCCCAGGTACCACTGATCAATCATTTACTTTGTGCCAACCGCTTATTCTAACAATATTGAAGAATGCATTACTCTTTTCAAACATTATTTACCTTTCTTTGGGAGGCAGAGGCGGGTGGATCATGAGGTCAGGAGATCGAGACCATCTTGGCCAACATGGTGAAACCCAGTCTCTACTAAAAAATACAAAAATTAGCTGGGCCTGGTGGCGCACACCTGTAGTCCCAGCTACTTGGGAGGCTGAAGGCAGGAGAACTGCTTGAACCTGGGAGGCAGAGGTTGCAGTGAGCCGAGATCGCGCCATTGCACTCCAGCCTGGCATCTGGCAACAGAGTGAGACTCTGTTTCAAAAAAATATATATATATTATTTACCTTTAGCTATTTCTTAATCTTTAAAAGCACAGCACAAATTTTAATACTGGTGAAAGATGCTAATATTGTCAGTTCTGTATTATTCTAGCATTTATTCTGATGTGGAGCCTCAACCACCAGTTGCTGACAGCAGTATAGTATTCAGCTAGTTACTTCAACACTTTTTAATGAGCTAACAAACCCTTCACACAGGAATAAGAGTGATAAATGCAATCTGATGGCTACTAACTGTAGTATTTAGATTTTAATTTAGTGTAGCATGTATTGTGCATGCAATTAATTATACTGGCAACTATACTAGACATTACCTGTCAGCTACTAAATATTACTCATTCTTGTAATTTTTGTGTTTTAAAGCTTTATCTCATAATGTAATTCATTAAGAGCTAACCTAAGAAAAGATACTTGGTTGAGTGCAATTCTCAAATTTATAGGAAGTAATTATGTAGTAATGAAAAAAGTGGTCTGAAAAATAATGAGACTATGACACTTGGTGAGTTGTTGAAATTCTTTAACATCAGGATTTTTCTTTATAAAATAAAAGAAAATAATATCTCTGTGGGTAATACTGAAAATACCCCATAAAATATGAAGACTATTTAAGCTACAAAAATGCTAGTCAATCAGAATCATGGCCAGTCCTACAGAATTGCTTAGTCATACTTGTATCACCTGAACATTACCTCTGCTGACATAAAAACTGTATAAGATCTGAAAGTAGCAATTTACTGACTACGGTGTAACCTCTATAACTACGACTTGTGAGCAGTAAGCTAACATCACAGGAGCAAAGCGATAGTATTGTGGATGTCCTTGTGTGGCCATAAGTTTTCATTTCTCAGGGATAAATGCCTGGGAAAGCAAATTGCACAGTAGAATAGAAAATGTTTCTTTAATTTTAAATAAGATGCCAAATTATATTCTATATTGGCTATAGAAATAGGTAACATTTTACATCCTACCACTAATGTGTAAGAGATCCAGTTTCTCTACATCCCTACCAGTTTGGTGTATTGTCACTTAAAATTTTGGTTCTGTTTATCATAGTCTTAATTTACATTTCCCTCAAGTCTGGTAATGATAAAGAACATTTTACATGCCTATTATCTAGCCATGTATGTTATATCCTCTTGGGTGAGGAGATTTCTCTTCCCATTTCTTGCCCATGTTCTGATAATATTGTTAGATTATTATTCTGTTGGTGCCTTCTCTCTGTTTTGCTGTTAACTATGCTAGAGCCATTCAAAGAACCACATTAATTTCTTATTAATTTCTATATTGGGCTCTGTAATCCTTTCAAAGAATTCTGCTCTTTTAATATTTGCCCATTTTTTAGTAGCTTTGGCTTTTATATTGCTCTCATTTTTAACTTTTTTTGAGATAATATTTTAGAATTGTAATTTGAAATATCCTTTCTAGTATAGGATTTAGTTTTATAATTTCCCTTTTATCACTGCATTTGCTGTATCCCCAAAATTCTGACATCTTGTGTTTCTATTTTCATCAGTTCAATATGTTTTTATTTCCCTTATGTCTTTCTCTTTGACAGATGGATATTTTCCTTTCTTTTCTTAAAACAGACTTTAGTTGTTCAGAGCAGTTTTACGTTCAAAGCAACGTTGAATGGAAGCGACAAAGATTTCCTGTATATAACCTGTCCCTACTCAAGCACAGCCCCTCTGTAGTCAACATCCTCCACCAGAGTGGCACATTAGTTATAGCTGATGAACTAACAGTGACACATCATGATCTCCCCGAGTCCAGTTTCCATTAGGGTTCACTTTGGTGTTGCACATGCTATGGGTTTTGATGTGCATAGGGGCAGGTATTCGCCATTACAGGATCATAGTCATTTCACTACCCTAGACATCTTTTCTGCTCTTTCTATTCACCTCTATTCTCCCCACCCCAAGAAACGACTCATTTTTAAAACTTGCCTCCATAGTATTGCCGTTTTCAAAATGTCGTATACTTGGATCATACAGTAGTTAACCTTTTCATATTGGCTTATTTTACTTAGTGATATGACTTTAAATTGCCTCCATGTCTTTTCATGACTTAATAACTCAGTTCTTTTCAGTGCTAAATGATATTCAGTTTTCGGAATGTACAAAATTTATCGATCCATTCATCTACAGACAGGCCTCATGGTTGCTTCCATGTTTTAGAAGTTATAAACAAAACTGTTCCAAACATCCATATTCAGAATTCTGAGTAGACATAAGTTTTCAACTTTTTTGGGTAATACCATGTGTGTGATTGCTAGATCATATCGTAAAAGTATGTTTAGATTTTACAAACTGCCAAACTATCTTCCAAAGCAATTGTGGAACTTTTGATTTTAATCACCAATGAATGAAAGTTGCTTTTGCTCCATGATGTCACCAGTATCTATTGTTGTCCATGTTCTTGATTTGGACCACTCTAATAGATGTATAGTAGTATCTCATTGTTGTTTGTATTTACTTGATGATATACAATGTGGGGCATATTTTCATATGCTTATTTTCATCTGTATATATTCTTTGGTAGGGTGTCTGTTAAGGTGTCTGGCTCATTTTTAATTGGAATTTTTGTTTTGATATCATTGAGTTTTAACAATTCTTTACATATTTTGATTAGCATCTTTTTTCTGATACGCTGTCTGCAAATATTTGTGTCCAGTTTTTGGTTTGTCGTTTCACACTTTTGAGAATGTCTTTCATAGAGCAGAAAATTTTAATTTAATAAAGTCCAGTTTATCAATTGTTTCTTTCATGGATCATGCGTTTGCCATAGAATCTAAAAAGTCATTGCCAAAGCAAAGGTCATCTAGGCCTTTACTATGTTATCATCTAGGAGTTCTTATATTATTGTGTTTTACAATTGGGGCTGTGTTCCATTTTGAATTATTTTTTTGCAAAGGGTGTAAGATTTCTGTCTCACTTCTTTCTGTTTTTTGTTTCACATGTGGATGTCCAGTTTTCCCAGTATCATTTGTTGAAAAGATCATATTTACTCCATTGTATTTTTTTGCTCCTTGATCAAAGATTAGCCGACTATTTTTGTGGGCCTACTTCTAGGCCTTCTCTTCTGTTCCATTGATCTATTTGTCTTTTTTTTCCCCAACATCGCACTGTCTTAATGACTAGCTTTAGAGTATATGCCTTGAAATTTGGTAGTGTCAATCCTTCAACGTTGATCTTGATTTTCAATATTACATTGGCTATTCTGGATCTTTTGCCACTCTCTATATATTCTAGAATCAATTTGTCAATATCTAAAGTAGCTTGCTGGAATTTTGATTGGAATTTTATGAGATCTGTAGTTCAAGTCTGGAAGAGCTGACATCCAGACAATATTGAATCTTCCTGTCCATGAACATGAAATATATTCCATTTATTTAGTTCTTAGGTTTATCAAAGTCTGATAGTTTCCCTCATATAGATTTTTTTTGTATATTTAGTTAGTTTTATATTGACTTACCTAATATGTGTCTGAGATTGTCTTAGGCTTTTTTA